GTGGCGGAGGGGAGGTTACCACAAGCACTGGCAGAGGAGCGAGTGCACACGGCGTACGGCATGAGCAAGGACTTTGCTTTCTCCTCACTTCCCTCTCCCCGCCTCCCCCCCTGTCCTCTTTCCCTGCACTCTCTGCAGCTCATCAGCGTCTGAGTTCGTGAGCATAGAGAAGGTGGCGGGTCACCTAGTGGCGGAGGGGAGGTTACCACAAGCACTGGCAGAGGAGCGAGTGCACACGGCGTACGGCATGAGCAAGGACTTTGCTTTCTCCTCACTTCCCTCTCCCCGCCTCCCCCCCTGTCCTCTTTCCCTGCACTCTCTGCAGCTCATCAGCGTCTGAGTTCGTGAGCATAGAGAAGGTGGCGGGTCACCTAGTGGCGGAGGGGAGGTTACCACAAGCACTGGCAGAGGAGCGAGTGCACACGGCGTACGGCATGAGCAAGGACTTTGCTTTCTCCTCACTTCCCTCTCCCCGCCTCCCCCCCTGTCCTCTTTCCCTGCACTCTCTGCAGCTCATCAGCGTCTGAGTTCGTGAGCATAGAGAAGGTGGCGGGTCACCTAGTGGCGGAGGGGAGGTTACCACAAGCACTGGCAGAGGAGCGAGTGCACACGGCGTACGGCATGAGCAAGGACTTTGCTTTCTCCTCACTTCCCTCTCCCCGCCTCCCCCCCTGTCCTCTTTCCCTGCACTCTCTGCAGCTCATCAGCGTCTGAGTTCGTGAGCATAGAGAAGGTGGCGGGTCACCTAGTGGCGGAGGGGAGGTTACCACAAGCACTGGCAGAGGAGCGAGTGCACACGGCGTACGGCATGAGCAAGGACTTTGCTTTCTCCTCACTTCCCTCTCCCCGCCTCCCCCCCTGTCCTCTTTCCCTGCACTCTCTGCAGCTCATCAGCGTCTGAGTTCGTGAGCATAGAGAAGGTGGCGGGTCACCTAGTGGCGGAGGGGAGGTTACCACAAGCACTGGCAGAGGAGCGAGTGCACACGGCGTACGGCATGAGCAAGGACTTTGCTTTCTCCTCACTTCCCTCTCCCCGCCTCCCCCCCTGTCCTCTTTCCCTGCACTCTCTGCAGCTCATCAGCGTCTGAGTTCGTGAGCATAGAGAAGGTGGCGGGTCACCTAGTGGCGGAGGGGAGGTTACCACAAGCACTGGCAGAGGAGCGAGTGCACACGGCGTACGGCATGAGCAAGGACTTTGCTTTCTCCTCACTTCCCTCTCCCCGCCTCCCCCCCTGTCCTCTTTCCCTGCACTCTCTGCAGCTCATCAGCGTCTGAGTTCGTGAGCATAGAGAAGGTGGCGGGTCACCTAGTGGCGGAGGGGAGGTTACCACAAGCACTGGCAGAGGAGCGAGTGCACACGGCGTACGGCATGAGCAAGGACTTTGCTTTCTCCTCACTTCCCTCTCCCCGCCTCCCCCCCTGTCCTCTTTCCCTGCACTCTCTGCAGCTCATCAGCGTCTGAGTTCGTGAGCATAGAGAAGGTGGCGGGTCACCTAGTGGCGGAGGGGAGGTTACCACAAGCACTGGCAGAGGAGCGAGTGCACACGGCGTACGGCATGAGCAAGGACTTTGCTTTCTCCTCACTTCCCTCTCCCCGCCTCCCCCCCTGTCCTCTTTCCCTGCACTCTCTGCAGCTCATCAGCGTCTGAGTTCGTGAGCATAGAGAAGGTGGCGGGTCACCTAGTGGCGGAGGGGAGGTTACCACAAGCACTGGCAGAGGAGCGAGTGCACACGGCGTACGGCATGAGCAAGGACTTTGCTTTCTCCTCACTTCCCTCTCCCCGCCTCCCCCCCTGTCCTCTTTCCCTGCTCTCTCTGCAGCTCATCAGCGTCTGAGTTCGTGAGCATAGAGAAGGTGGCGGGTCACCTAGTGGCGGAGGGGAGGTTACCACAAGCACTGGCAGAGGAGCGAGTGCACACGGCGTACGGCATGAGCAAGGACTTTGCTTTCTCCTCACTTCCCTCTCCCCGCCTCCCCCCCTGTCCTCTTTCCCTGCACTCTCTGCAGCTCATCAGCGTCTGAGTTCGTGAGCATAGAGAAGGTGGCGGGTCACCTAGTGGCGGAGGGGAGGTTACCACAAGCACTGGCAGAGGAGCGAGTGCACACGGCGTACGGCATGAGCAAGGACTTTGCTTTCTCCTCACTTCCCTCTCCCCGCCTCCCCCCCTGTCCTCTTTCCCTGCACTCTCTGCAGCTCATCAGCGTCTGAGTTCGTGAGCATAGAGAAGGTGGCGGGTCACCTAGTGGCGGAGGGGAGGTTACCACAAGCACTGGCAGAGGAGCGAGTGCACACGGCGTACGGCATGAGCAAGGACTTTGCTTTCTCCTCACTTCCCTCTCCCCGCCTCCCCCCCTGTCCTCTTTCCCTGCACTCTCTGCAGCTCATCAGCGTCTGAGTTCGTGAGCATAGAGAAGGTGGCGGGTCACCTAGTGGCGGAGGGGAGGTTACCACAAGCACTGGCAGAGGAGCGAGTGCACACGGCGTACGGCATGAGCAAGGACTTTGCTTTCTCCTCACTTCCCTCTCCCCGCCTCCCCCCCTGTCCTCTTTCCCTGCACTCTCTGCAGCTCATCAGCGTCTGAGTTCGTGAGCATAGAGAAGGTGGCGGGTCACCTAGTGGCGGAGGGGAGGTTACCACAAGCACTGGCAGAGGAGCGAGTGCACACGGCGTACGGCATGAGCAAGGACTTTGCTTTCTCCTCACTTCCCTCTCCCCGCCTCCCCCCCTGTCCTCTTTCCCTGCACTCTCTGCAGCTCATCAGCGTCTGAGTTCGTGAGCATAGAGAAGGTGGCGGGTCACCTAGTGGCGGAGGGGAGGTTACCACAAGCACTGGCAGAGGAGCGAGTGCACACGGCGTACGGCATGAGCAAGGACTTTGCTTTCTCCTCACTTCCCTCTCCCCGCCTCCCCCCCTGTCCTCTTTCCCTGCTCTCTCTGCAGCTCATCAGCGTCTGAGTTCGTGAGCATAGAGAAGGTGGCGGGTCACCTAGTGGCGGAGGGGAGGTTACCACAAGCACTGGCAGAGGAGCGAGTGCACACGGCGTACGGCATGAGCAAGGACTTTGCTTTCTCCTCACTTCCCTCTCCCCGCCTCCCCCCCTGTCCTCTTTCCCTGCACTCTCTGCAGCTCATCAGCGTCTGAGTTCGTGAGCATAGAGAAGGTGGCGGGTCACCTAGTGGCGGAGGGGAGGTTACCACAAGCACTGGCAGAGGAGCGAGTGCACACGGCGTACGGCATGAGCAAGGACTTTGCTTTCTCCTCACTTCCCTCTCCCCGCCTCCCCCCCTGTCCTCTTTCCCTGCACTCTCTGCAGCTCATCAGCGTCTGAGTTCGTGAGCATAGAGAAGGTGGCGGGTCACCTAGTGGCGGAGGGGAGGTTACCACAAGCACTGGCAGAGGAGCGAGTGCACACGGCGTACGGCATGAGCAAGGACTTTGCTTTCTCCTCACTTCCCTCTCCCCGCCTCCCCCCCTGTCCTCTTTCCCTGCACTCTCTGCAGCTCATCAGCGTCTGAGTTCGTGAGCATAGAGAAGGTGGCGGGTCACCTAGTGGCGGAGGGGAGGTTACCACAAGCACTGGCAGAGGAGCGAGTGCACACGGCGTACGGCATGAGCAAGGACTTTGCTTTCTCCTCACTTCCCTCTCCCCGCCTCCCCCCCTGTCCTCTTTCCCTGCACTCTCTGCAGCTCATCAGCGTCTGAGTTCGTGAGCATAGAGAAGGTGGCGGGTCACCTAGTGGCGGAGGGGAGGTTACCACAAGCACTGGCAGAGGAGCGAGTGCACACGGCGTACGGCATGAGCAAGGACTTTGCTTTCTCCTCACTTCCCTCTCCCCGCCTCCCCCCCTGTCCTCTTTCCCTGCACTCTCTGCAGCTCATCAGCGTCTGAGTTCGTGAGCATAGAGAAGGTGGCGGGTCACCTAGTGGCGGAGGGGAGGTTACCACAAGCACTGGCAGAGGAGCGAGTGCACACGGCGTACGGCATGAGCAAGGACTTTGCTTTCTCCTCACTTCCCTCTCCCCGCCTCCCCCCCTGTCCTCTTTCCCTGCTCTCTCTGCAGCTCATCAGCGTCTGAGTTCGTGAGCATAGAGAAGGTGGCGGGTCACCTAGTGGCGGAGGGGAGGTTACCACAAGCACTGGCAGAGGAGCGAGTGCACACGGCGTACGGCATGAGCAAGGACTTTGCTTTCTCCTCACTTCCCTCTCCCCGCCTCCCCCCCTGTCCTCTTTCCCTGCACTCTCTGCAGCTCATCAGCGTCTGAGTTCGTGAGCATAGAGAAGGTGGCGGGTCACCTAGTGGCGGAGGGGAGGTTACCACAAGCACTGGCAGAGGAGCGAGTGCACACGGCGTACGGCATGAGCAAGGACTTTGCTTTCTCCTCACTTCCCTCTCCCCGCCTCCCCCCCTGTCCTCTTTCCCTGCACTCTCTGCAGCTCATCAGCGTCTGAGTTCGTGAGCATAGAGAAGGTGGCGGGTCACCTAGTGGCGGAGGGGAGGTTACCACAAGCACTGGCAGAGGAGCGAGTGCACACGGCGTACGGCATGAGCAAGGACTTTGCTTTCTCCTCACTTCCCTCTCCCCGCCTCCCCCCCTGTCCTCTTTCCCTGCACTCTCTGCAGCTCATCAGCGTCTGAGTTCGTGAGCATAGAGAAGGTGGCGGGTCACCTAGTGGCGGAGGGGAGGTTACCACAAGCACTGGCAGAGGAGCGAGTGCACACGGCGTACGGCATGAGCAAGGACTTTGCTTTCTCCTCACTTCCCTCTCCCCGCCTCCCCCCCTGTCCTCTTTCCCTGCACTCTCTGCAGCTCATCAGCGTCTGAGTTCGTGAGCATAGAGAAGGTGGCGGGTCACCTAGTGGCGGAGGGGAGGTTACCACAAGCACTGGCAGAGGAGCGAGTGCACACGGCGTACGGCATGAGCAAGGACTTTGCTTTCTCCTCACTTCCCTCTCCCCGCCTCCCCCCCTGTCCTCTTTCCCTGCACTCTCTGCAGCTCATCAGCGTCTGAGTTCGTGAGCATAGAGAAGGTGGCGGGTCACCTAGTGGCGGAGGGGAGGTTACCACAAGCACTGGCAGAGGAGCGAGTGCACACGGCGTACGGCATGAGCAAGGACTTTGCTTTCTCCTCACTTCCCTCTCCCCGCCTCCCCCCCTGTCCTCTTTCCCTGCACTCTCTGCAGCTCATCAGCGTCTGAGTTCGTGAGCATAGAGAAGGTGGCGGGTCACCTAGTGGCGGAGGGGAGGTTACCACAAGCACTGGCAGAGGAGCGAGTGCACACGGCGTACGGCATGAGCAAGGACTTTGGCATGAACGGGTTCCGAGTGGGATGCCTGCACACCAAGAACAAAGACCTTCTTGCGGTCAGTCCGTGGCATGCGTCATTCCTTCATTCATTCATTATGCATGCAATGTCCGTGCCACGCTATGCCGCACCGCACCATGAGGAGCAAGTGCGGGTTCCGAGTGGGGTGCTTGCAGACCAAGAACAGACCTGCTGGCTGTGAGTGGCTGATTCAGGCATTTTATGCTGATCCGCACCATGCCGTGCAGTGCAGTACCATGCCATGCGCAACCATACCATGCCAGCATCGCACCAACACTTCCAAGCCCCCTACCGTTCCTTCCATTGACCCACACACCACCATGTCTTGCTCATTTCCTCTGCGACCCCGAATTCTAGCAGAACATCGGCATGTTCGACGTCATGATCGGCATGTTTGCCGCACCTCAAAAGCCACACCAGCACGTTGCTGCCTCCTGTTGATTGACCACATACCACCACGTCCCGTGTATTCCCCCTATTCGCTCTCGGACCCCCAGTTCTGGCAGAACATCGGCATGTCTGCAGTGGTGTCAAACGACACGCAGCACGCCATTGGCCCCCGTTCACGTGTAATGAGGTTATTTTTGAGACGTCTCAAAAATAACCTCATTACACACGCAGCACGCCATTGGCCCCCATTCATTGACCCACATACCACCATGACTTGTGCGTTGCCCTTACTGCCCCTGCAAACACCCAGTTCTGGCAGAACATCGGCATGTTCGCAGCTATGTCGAATGGCACGCGGCACGGCATTGCCTGCTGTTGATTGATTGACCCACACTCTGCTGTTTCTTGCTCATTGCCCCTTCTGCTGCCCCCAGTTCTGGCAGAACATCGGCATGTTCGCGGCAGTGTCAAATGACACGCAGCACGCACTCTCGGTGATGCTGGAAGATGACAAGTTCGTCGACTCATACGTATCCGAGAATAAACGGTGAGAGACCGCCATTGATGCAGCGTGCAGCACACTCACCAGTCCATCACTCACCCCAGCACACGCTGTCTGTGATGCTGGAAGATGACACGTTTGTCGACTCATATGTCTCAGAGAATAAACGGTGAGAATGGGAAGCGACAGGCAGTGATGCCAGCATGCATCATACTCACCAGTCACTCACTCACACAGCAGCACGTGCTGTCTATGATGCTGGGAGATTACAAGTTTCTCAGCTCATTATGTGTCTGAGAGCAAACAGTGTCATTCAGTGGCACTGCCTCAGTGACACTCACCCCGCACTCACTCACTTCACTGTATGATGGGTGTTTTTGAGAATTCCCAAAAAGACACTCACCCCGCATTCACTCACTTCACTGTGTGATGCTGGGAGATGACAAGTTTGTCGACTCATTATGTGTCTGAGAACAAACCTACTTAATAACTTTTCAAGCACCCCGACTACCTTCCATCCCCTCCCCTCCAGCCGGCTCAAGATGTCATACGACCTGCTGACATCAGCGTTCGAGGCAGCAGGCATGCAGTACCAGCCGCCATGTGCAGCCATGTTCTGCTGGCTCGACCTGCGCGCCATCCTCTCTCACCCCACCCCACCCCTTTCTCCCCTAAACCCTTGCTCCTCCTCCCCTCTTCTCCACACACTTCCTTCCCAAATCAATTCCCGCCATCCTCAAATCCCCCCCTCTCCTCTCTCCCCTCCCCCCCGTGCCACCCCAGGCGCCTCAAGATGTCATACGACTTACTCACATCAGCGTTCGAGGCAGCGGGCATGCAGTACCAGCCGGCATGTGCAGCCATGTTCTGCTGGCTGGACCTGCGCGCCATCCTCGCTGAGCCCACCTTTGAGGCGGAGCGGCTGCTGTGGCGCGAGATTCTCGACTCGTGCAAGATCGTGATCACCCCAGGTGAGCTGGGCTTGACAGCAGGAGCGATGGTGATCCCGCCCGGTAAAATGGGCATCAGTTAATCCAATGGTTAAGCATCCCGCCCATCCTCTCTCAGCCCACCTTTGAGGCGGAGCGGCTGCTGTGGCGCGAGATCCTCGACTCATGCAAGATCGTGATCACGCCAGGTGAGCTGGTGATTACCCCAGGTGCAATGCTGGCACCGCGAGGTAGAATAGGCATCAGTAAGCACAATACTTCAACATCCCCCTCATCTCCTCGACCAACCCTCCTTCGAGGCGGAGTGGCTGCTGTGGCACGTGATCCTCGACTCGTCCCGGCTTTCTAGACAAGGCATCAAGTAGGTAGTAGAAATACTCTACTGTTTTTCTTCTGCTAAATATTCTTTTTTTCTTCTAAACTGCAGCTCCCCCAGTATTCATGGCTGAAGGCTGCTGTGGTGCGAGATCCTTTCCTCGTGCCACAGCCACGAGCAGGCGAGGCATGCCCCTACGGTTAGCCGGGGTTCTTCCGCGTGTGCTACGCCGCCATGCATGTTGCCTTACCGCCACACTCAGTGTCGTTCTCCTCTCCACATCCTCCTCCCATTGCCCTGTGCTTTGCCACAACCAGGAGAGGCGTGTCACTACGGCGAGCCGGGGTTCTTCCGAGTGTGCTACGCCGCCATGCCGCCCGACCAGCTGTCCGTGGCGTGTGCCAGGCTGGCGGCCTTTTGGAAGAAAAAGGTGGCGGAGAGAGCAGTGAACGGGCAGGAGGAAAACGGGCAGGGGGAAAAGGTGCAGGAGTTGACCGGGAAAGCAGAAAATGGGCAGGGGGCGGATGGGGAGCGGAGGGATGGGGAGGGGAAGGAAGGGGCGGAGAAGGAAGGAGAGGGGGAAGGGGTGAATGAGACTCATGAGACGTCTCAAAAGGAGGGAGGAGTGGAGGTGGGGGCTTTGAGTAGAAAACGCAAGGCTGAAGGCGACCCTGGGGACGCTTAAAGCCAAGGTGTTACGGTTTTGCAGTCTTGGGTTAACTCATTGCACGGCCTCAGAAGAGTGGTTAATCAGCTATTCAAGCTCTGGGATTTTGTATGATCAGCAGCATGTTACATTGGGTCCACCACATGTGCTTGGAATGGAAGGTACGTGTGAAAGGGCAAATCTGGTTGTGTTTGGCTCAACCCGTGTGATGATGTCAAAGTGGACCCACTTGTGGTTTGCATTGCATTGGACAATATTCTACTGAACAGATATACTGTTCATCTCTAAACAGCACGTTTATTCACTATGAGCATTGACATGTTTATTGATCGCGTTTGTCGCTGGACAAACACGTTTATAAGGTGTCACCTAAAGATGAGCAAAGACAACGCGACTCTCCCTTGTCGCACCGGCCATCAAAACGGCAAGCCCCTGCCCATCGGCTTCTGCCGCGCTAGACGGCCCCGCGCGAGCCGCTGATACAAGGTGCTCACGAGAACGGTTCGCTCCAGCACCTGCCCGAGGGTCCGTCCGAGCATCGCCAGCTGCAGCAGCGTCCTCCAGCATATCACGAGAGCCGATACGCGATGATCCGAGGCGGGGGTGGAGGAGGGAAACGAGGGGAGACTGGATTTCGGTGACGACTTGAGAGCGTTTGGGTGTGGATAAGTGTCGATGCAGCGGTTTGGTGAGCACGCGACGTCGATCGCCGTGGAGCGGCCGTGTTTCGCGGCGTGTTGTGCATCATTTTCAAAGAGCAGGAACGCTGCTGGAAACCCGGTTCCGTTTAACGATGAGCCAGGCTGCTTGGCAAGCGACTGAAAATTGTTAACCGGATGCGATACACATTGCGACGATGACGGGTGAGCCGCTGCTGTACTAGCAAAAGCACCCTGTACACTATGAACGGAAGTAGGCAAAATACGGTCTTCGAATTGATCATTGTGAGCCAGCATCTCGCCAATCGCCGTGTGAAGGGACTTGGAGAATCGAACTACCTCCATGGCTCTAACTAATCGAGCTCGAAACCCTTACTGATTATTGATTAAAAATGAGGTCAGCAAGGAGTAAGGCCGAGTGCAGCAGCAGCAGCAGCAGCAGCAGAACCAGCAGCTAGGCAGCAAGGATAGCTTCTGGTGGATGGTAAAGTGGGATCACATGTAAAAAACTCACGATCAAGCTCGAATGAAGTTCGCTGAAGCTATTCTTCACGAAATTGTTAGAATGGAGAGACAACTCTGGAGAAATAGCTTCTCATGCTGGAATTTTATCGTCGAAAAGATCGCGTCACACCATCAATGCCAAGGAGCCGTGAAGATTGTGACGAGGTGGAATGGCGGGAGGGAGCAGAACGTCGCTCACAAGACAGCAATAATTACGGCTCTTGATCAGAACAGAACGTCGTGCAGTGCAAGAATGTACTTACCCCCTCCGCAAATAATTGTAGTGTACTCTCAGTCTAGTCCACTTCCTGGCTGGCCTGTGCCGTGAGCGGCGCGTGCATTCTCGATTTGACCAGCTGTAAAGTTACAGGTCCCGAATTTTTAGCAAGTACTTTCTTGACCAATCATATTCTACAGATTTACCAAAACGCGTTCTGAGAAGTCGCATGATGAGCCAGGTCAGACCCTGCGACGGGCGTTCCAGTCGTCTGCTCTGGGAGACGGGGATGAGAGATTGATTGTCAGCGAACTCAAGAATGGTGACTGGTAATGGACGAGTGTCGCGAGCGTGCCTTCTGGGGGACGGGGATGAGAGACAGATTGTCGCGAAATCATGAAAGGTGATCAAAACGCCGTCGCGAAATGGGACGAACGAACTGCCAGTTCGGTTTGTTGACAAATATTCGCTGACATAAGTCTGCGTGTGCGAATGGACTGGCGAGAGGTACGCAGAATCCATCTGTAAGGAATTTCGCTAATTCCTTAGGCATCTCTTACGCGTACAATTCCGACTTTCGGAATTCAGGCTCGGTCCGACGACCTCGCCTTCCGAACGTCTCCCGCGTCGCCCTCGGGTTTCCCAACCCCAAACCTGCACCCAACCTTCGCGCGACTCCGCGACCTCGGCCTAGCTAGCTGTGCTATATTATACCTAGGCCTCGTTGTTTGCTCAGTAGTTGTAATCACTTCCGCGATATTGCATTCTGCGCACTCTTCTTTCATACAACTCATAACACTTGGTATCAGAGCTACTTTCCTAGGTTACCCTCCACTTTCCGGGGTAGTTTTAGTGCAGGGGTGCGATAGGTTTGGTGGGCTGCAAAGCGGTCGGCTGAGAGATAGATACGATTATCTCGCTCCGACTAATAGCGTTTGCGCCTTCATCAAAACCATAAAAATCGCTGTTAACCCGCTGCCCGCTAGGATGAGTCTCCGAAACATGACACAAGCAGAGTTTGACGTGTTTTTGCAGGACTTTCGGGCGATGCAATCCAACATGCAGACTATGTCTGGCGAGTTGGAGCGCCTGAGGGTGGAAAACGCCGAGCTACGCCAGACGCGAGGTGAAGCGCGTCAGGAGCCGGCCGCCGTGGATGAAGCAAGTAGCAGCTTCGCGCCTAACGACGAGGTCCTTAGCGAGCTACAGGACTCGCTGGACGCTGAAGATGAGTGGACGGCACGGATGCAACAAGCACAAGGGACGCAGGGGCAACAGTCACAGCCGCAGCAACAGACACGAGCGGCGCCGAGGCAACAGTCGCAGACTACACCACGTCAGGCAACAGCGACAACCCCGGTGATGGCTTCAGTGGCGCCCCCGATGCATGCAGCAGCAACAGTCTCAACAACGGTTAAAATAAAACCGACGAACCCACCCCCGTTCAACCCAAGCGACAAAACCGTCACTGTGTCGGCATGGTTGTTCGGAGTGGAGGTGTTTTTCAATGCTGCGCAAATTGCTGACGATGCTGCCCGCATTAATTTTGCAGTGTCACTGTTACGAGGGCCGGCGTTGGAGTGGTGGAAGCGGACTCTTTAGACAGGGGGGACTCCGGCAGGGATGTCACGTGCGAACGACGGGACCTGGACAACTGTCACGCAACAGGCAACTTCAATCTTCGGAGTGGCCACGATACGCACATGGACGGAGTGGGGCGCCGCGCTGCGAACCAGATTCGAGCATGTATCCGCCTCGGATTCTGCTCGCATGAAGCTGCGCACCTGGAAGCAGGTGGCGTCGGTCCAAGATTACACGGCAACATTCTGCAATTTGGCTGACCAAGTGGACGATATGAGCGACGCGGAACGACTCGACCGATATGTCGCAGGCCTCAAGTACGAAGTACAGTACGAGGTGCGACGGACGAGGCCACGCGGTTTTCTCGATGCCGTCTAGGTGGCTGAATCAACGGATGCGCTGATGCAATGGGCGAGAATGAGTTCCCGGGAGGGCACTCAATTTCGTGGACTGCCGCGCCAGCCCACAATCAACGGGGTGGATGCACCGAGACGTGGACCTAACACGTGCTTCAACTGCAACCAACCGGGCCACTGGAGGAAGGATTGCCCGAAGCTGAAACAGGGAAACAGGAACGACGGAGAGGGGTCGGGAAAAGAGACGAGTCAGTAGCAGTCGGGCCACCTACTGACGAGACCCCGTCGCCCGGCAATCAACATCCACACCGAGTGGTGGTACCGATACGGGCTATCGACCGCAACCGGACGAATAAGGTGGATGAACACGTGGATCACCCTGTACTGGTCGTGGGGAGGGTTAACGACTATAAAATAAAATTATTCGTTGACGGTGGGGCGAGCCACAGTCTCGTCAACCTGGCAACGGCCAAAAAAATAGGGGTCAAACTGGACAGGTGTCTGCCCGAGATTGACGCGCGACTGGTGGACGGGACACCGCTGGCGATAAAAGACGAGGTCCGACAAATTCGGATGAAGTGTGGCGACGATTTCGGGTTTTCAATGCGAATGCTGGCGACAACACTGGACGGTTGCGATGTGCTGCTGGGACGAGATTGGCTACAGCGTTTCAATCCGACGATCGACTGGACGACGGGGGCGATCACGGTGCTGTGCAACAAGGGGCGCGTGACACTTCCGAAATGGGCGGAGCCGGAGCCGATGACAACACGTGTCAACGCAATAACGATGAAGAGGGCGATAAAACGGGGAGCGCAAGGCTACGCCGTACAGCTGTACGAGGTGGTGGCTTCCGAAAAAATCGCCGACATCGACACGCTCTGCGCTGCTGTACCCAACGACGTGGCGAGCATAATTCGGAGGTATCCCGAAATCTTCGCGGATGACCTGCCGGACGAGCTGCCACCTCAGCGTCCGGAGGACCACAGGATCGAGCTGGAGCCAGGCGCAAAACCAACTGTTCGGTCACAGTGGCGGCTCAGCCAACCGGAGCTCGACGAGTTGCGGAAACAGCTGGATTATCTGCTTTCGAAGGGTTTTATCCGGCCGAGCACGTCACCATACGCCGCCCCGATACTGTTCACACCGAAAAAGGACGGAGGCCTGCGCATGTGCATCGACTATCGAGCGTTGAACCGGGTCACAATCAAGTCACGTTACCCGATCCCACAAGCGGACGACCTGCTGGATCAGCTTCGCGGGGCTCGCTTCTTCTCGAAAATCGATTTGCGAGGTGGCTACCACCAAATTCGCGTGTTCGCCGACGACTGCCCGAAGACTGCGTTTCGCACCCGCTACGGCAGTTACGAGTACACTGTGATGCCGTTCGGGTTGACGAACGCGCCCTCGACTTTCCAGCTCACCATGAATGGGGTGTTTCGGGACATGCTGGACAAAAAAGTTATCGTTTATCTGGACGACATCCTGGTGTACAGCAAGACTCGGGAGCAGCATTTACAGGACTTAGAGGAAGTGTTCCGGCGCTTGCAGCAGAACCGACTGATTACTAAGGGCTCTAAGTGTGAGTTCTTACAGTCGGAGCTGGAGTTCCTGGGGCACGTGATTTCAGGGGAGGGCATTAAAATTGACTCTCGCAAAGTGACGGCGATTTCGGAGTGGAAGCCGCCCACGAACATCACGGAGTTGCAGAGTTTCCTCGGCTTCGTTAACTACGTCCGCCGTTTTGTACCGAATATGGCGGGGGTGACCAGGCCGTTTACCGATCTTCTGCATAAGGGCGTGCAATTCTGTTGGGGGGAGAGAGAACAGCTGGCTTTCAACGAGCTGAAGAAAATTTTGAGTTCACCCCCGGTGCTTCGGCTGGCAGATCCATCTCGACCGTTCGAAGTCGTGACGGACGCCAGCGATTTCGCCGTGGGCGCTGTGCTACTACAGGACTTCGGCAACGGGCTGCAACCCATCGCGTACGAATCAAGAAAAATGCAGCCGCCCGAGCGCAACTATCCGGTCCACGACAAGGAAATGCTCGCCATTGTGCATGCATTTCGTACCTGGCGCTGTTACCTCACGGGAGCTGACGTCACCGTCCGAACCGACCACAAGTCATTACAATACATGCGCAGCCAACCACAACTCAATCCGCGACAAATCCGGTGGCTCGATTACCTCGAGTCCAATTTCATCTACACCATCACGAACAAAAAGGGCGCCAACAACATCGCCGACGCCCTGACCCGACCATCAATGCAGACTGCAGCAGTACTAATCGCCCATGCTAACCCTTTATTGACAGGATTATTCAAGCATGGCTACAGGGTTGACCGGTGTTTTCGGACCAATCAACACCACGGGGTCACCACGGCGCATGGGAGCTACTACCTAAAAGTCGGTACTAACCGAGTTTGGGTACCTTCCTACCGACCCTTACGAGAATTGCTGATGCAGGAAGTACACGACTCCAACCTATCCGGGCATTTCGGCGTCGACAAAACGTTGAAACTGCTGCAACGGAATTATTACTGGCCCGACATGGCGTCCGACGTGCAGCACTACGTGTCCGCCTGCCCGACCTGCCAAGCAATGAAGTCATCACGCCAATGCCCAGCTGGATTGCTGCAACCCCTCGAGCCACCCGAACGACCGTGGCAACAGGTGACAATGGATTTCGTCACAGGCCTGCCGGCGGGCGCAAGTGGCAACGACTCGGTACTTGTCGTCGTCGATCGCTTAACGAAAATGGCGCATTTCGCACCATGCCGCACGACGATCACAGCCGAAGAAACAGCGAAGCTCTTCATCTCGACCGTCGTACGACTACACGGGTTGCCATCGGCGATAATCAGCGACCGCGACCCAAAATTCACGTCGAAGTTCTGGCAGGAGACGTGGGCACAGTATGGCACCCGCCTGCAGTTTTCGTCGTCGTACCATCCACAGACCGACGGACAGACAGAGAGGACAAACCAGACGATGGAGCAGTTGATTCGCACGAACTGCCCCGACATCACCAAGTGGGAGGATTCCCTTCCCATGCTCGAGTTTGCGTACAATAACGCCCCATCTGCAACAACCAAGCAGTCGCCGTTCTACCTGAATTACGGGATAGATCCGGTAGTACCCTCGTCAACAACTCCCGATAACCCGGTACCCAGGTCGCAGCAGTTTGTTTCGGAACTACAAGCAGCGCGAGACAAAGCAGCGAAATTTATCCGGAAGGCTAATACGGCCGCCAGCCGCTACGCCGACCGACATCGACGGAATTTACCCTTCCGTGACGGGCAGATGGTCCTCCTGGACACAAAAAACCTCAAGTTGCCCCAGCCTGCAAAACTGCGTCCCCGCTACGTGGGACCCTTTCGCATCATTCGGATGCTGACACCGGTCACTGCGAAACTTCTCCTACCGGACGACTGGAAAATCCACGACGCTTTCCACGTCAGTTTACTTCGCCACTATGTGGCACCGCAGTCGTCCGACGTCGCCCGACCCCACCAGGCACCAAGTGTCTGACCTGTGGCAAACCCGACGCTTCAACCCTGGAAGATATTGAACCATCGCATTCGTGCGACCCCCGCCGGACACCACGTCGACTTCCTGCTACGCTGGGTAGATCGCACAAGCGATGATGACACGTGGGTCCCGGCTGACTCACTACAAGGGCACTCGGTACTTCGGCCGTATCTTTCTCGCCGACATGTGCCTGATATCGACCACCTTTCTTAAGGGGGGGGGTAGTGTAAGGAATTTCGCTAATTCCTTACTGAGGCATCTCTTACGCGTACAATTCCGACTTTCGGAATTCAGGCTCGGTCCGACGACCTCGCCTTCCGAACGTCTCCCGCGTCGCCCTCGGGTTTCCCAACCCCAAACCTGCACCCAACCTTCGCGCGACTCCGCGACCTCGGCCTAGCTAGCTGTGCTATATTATACCTAGGCCTCGTTGTTTGCTCAGTAGTTGTAATCACTTCCGCGATATTGCATTCTGCGCACTCTTCTTTCATACAACTCATAACACCATCCACACAGGTTAAATTGCTTTCTGTAACCCGAAACACTTCGCCAGCATCGAGCACTCGCTAAACCAATAATCTGAAGTCGAAAACTGTACATATTACCTAAGCGAACAGACATCCAAGCCAGCGGAATCTTATCAAAGACTAACAACCCTCGACAACAAGCAGTCTACTTCACCCTGTCGTCTACTTTCCACGACGGAACGACTAGATGGTTTAGCGACATCGTGACACATCCGCGTCAACGACGCGGCATGCGGCACCGGACCCGGTGCCAGGCCTTCAAACCTGACTGAGTGCGACGAACCTTTCTCCCTCGTCGGTGGGATCCATCCGTTCTGCGACGAACACGATCCCAAAAGTTCAAGCCAGTTTGATGTAGGTGCGAAACGGCAAGTCGCAAGCGCGCGCTTTTGGTTTCGACGAGATTATGTAGGCTGAGAGAGGAGAGCTGGCGAGGAGGAGTTAAGGAGGTTGGAAGCCTTCTCCTTATGTGAGGTTGGGTTAGGTTAGTTAGGTTAGTTTTAGGTTAGGAAGAAAAGGAAGGAGGGGAGTGAAAGGAAGGGCTACAAGGTCAGCGAAAGAGGTAACGGAGGAAGGGAGGAAGAAGGGAGGAGCAAGAGAGGGTGCGAGGTGGAGCAAGTTCGAAGTCAAGAGTAGGTGCATCAAGGGACGGTGAATCAAGGGGCGGTGAATCAAAAGGCGGTAAACCAAGGGACGGTGCATCAGCGTACATTACGGGACGGTGCATCGAGGGACGGTGCATCAGGGGACGGTGCATCAGGGGACGGTGCGTCAGGGGTCGGTGCGTCAGGGGACGGTGCTTCAGGGGACGGTGCTTCAGGGGACGGTGCGTCAGGGGACGGTGCTTCAGGGGTCGGTGCGTCAGGGGACGGTGCGTCAGGGGACGGTGTTTCAGGGGACATGGAGACGAGGACGGTGCAGCAGAGGACGTTCAGCCTGCCATCGCCGCACAGCTACCTGCGCATTACCATGTGAGCGAGACGGCATAGCTACCTGCGCATTACCATGTGAGCGAGACGGCATAGCTACCTGCGCATTACCATGTGAGCGAGACGGCATAGCTACCTGCGCATTACCATGTGAGCGAGACGGCATAGCTACCTGCGCATTACCATGTGAGCGGAGTGAAGGAGAGCGGGCGAGAGGGAGTGAAAGGAATAGGGAAAAGAGTGAAGGGTGAGGGAGAGAAGGAGAGGGAGTGACGGGGAGACAGAGGGAGAGGGAGAGGGGGAGGGAGTAAGGGAGAGAGGGAGAGAGGGTAGAGAGGATGGGCGAGGGGAACGACTCAAAACTCTTCGTGTTCTCCTCTCCGTTTCTGCCTCAGCGGCTCTGTGAGTGTGAACCGCTTTCTGAGGCATCTCAAAATTCCTTTCCTCGTGTTTCCTAATTCGTTCTGCGTCAGATCTATGAATGTGAGTTGCTTTCTGAGGCGTCTCAAAAATCATTTCCACGTGTTTCGTTATTCGTTCTCCTTCTACCTCAGATCTGTGAATGTGACCCGCCAGCAGCAGCAGCAGCAGCCGCAGAGGAAAGGCGAGCAAAAAGGGCAGCAGAAAGGCGTGCCGAGGGGCGAGCAGGGGGGTGTGCAGAGGGAGGTGTTGGAGCGGCTGCTGGGGGACTCACTGGTGGCTTTGTTTGGGTCGGTGGGGGCAGGCAGCATCCAGGCGTCTCTGCTGGTTCTTTCCTGCGACCCCTGTGGGCCCCACTCCGTGGCTGTGCTGCGCTGTGATAAGAGGTGAGCCTAAAGGGGAGGCCTGAAAGGGACGTGTTAGAGTGATTGCTACGGGACTCCCTGCTCCCTTGCGACCCCACTTCGTGGCTGTGCTGCAATGTGATAAGAGGTGAGCCTGGAGGGGAGGGTTGAGAGGGAGGGGAGACCTGAGTAGGAGGTGTTGGAGTGATTGCTATGGGACTCCCTGCTCTCCTGCGACCTCTGAGAACCCCACTCCGTCGCTGTGCTGCGCTGCCACAAGCGGTGAGCTTGGAGGATGGGTCGGGGAGGGGATGTAGCATGCTTGCTACTGCACTCCGTGCGTTCATCCTGTGCCAGCTGGCTGTGCCGTCCAGCTGGCTGTGCCGTCCAGCTGGCTGTGCTGTCGGGGTGGATGTGCTGTCCCCTGTCTGTCCCATAGCTCCCATGCGCCTGTGTCTGTTGCTCTTCACGCAGCAGTCACGAAAACAAGGTGTATCATCCTCAGCAGCAGCAGCAGGATAAGCAGCAGCAGCAGCAGAGGCAGCAACAGAAACAACAGTCATGCGACACCTATAAACGATTCGATCCTACCTCAGTCTCGAAAGGTCCTTTGTATTGATTCAGTCTCAGTATCTTCTCATGAGTCTGGACCCTGTTTGAATGTCTAATGCCACCCCGCCCCACCAGGCACGAGCAGCAGGTGTGGGCAGCAGCAGCGGCCTAAGGCATCCCACTATGAACCCCGCAGTGCAAGTGGTGACACTCGGTGTGTGTGCCGCACTCAGTGTGTCTTATCCCTGTGTGAATGTCTAATCCCTTCCCGCCCCAGCAGGCACGAGCAGCAGGTGTGGGCAGCAGCTGCAGCCATGAGGCATCCCACATTGAACCCCTCAGTGCAAGTGGTGACACTCGCTTCCTCCTTGCTCGCCCTCGCCAACCCCACTCTCCACCTCCCCACGCCTTGACTGTTCCTTGATTGGACCCATCTGCACCCAGCAAAACTTAATCACCCCCAGCTGCACCCAGCCATAGCCCACTGCACCAAGCTACGCCCAGCTTCACTCAGCTTCACTCAGCTTCACCCAGCTGCACTCAGCTGCACTCAGCTGCACTCAGCTTCACCCAGCTGCACTTAGCTGCACTCAGCTAACCCAGCTGCACACAGGACTACATGCATCCTGGCAGGTTCCCAGAAGCCAGCGTTTTTGTGCCGCACCTACAACTGCAGCAATGCATCCTTGAATTCCATGCTCAATCCTGTTCAAGCTGAGCTTATAAAGTGAATGCCAAACTGCACTGGACGCTAGAATAATGCACACCACATGTTTCTAAATTCAGTATTGGCAGGCATGTCATGCAACTCACTCCTGGCTGTGGTAGTAGAAAGGCTAGGGGTTCTGGAAACTAGCTACGTACCCAACGTGCAATGGCAGGCGTGTCATGCCACGTAACAACACCCACTCCCATTTTTAGGTGATCTTGTTACATCACAGCACCACACATGGCTGTATCCTTTCCCAGCCCAGCTCTGACAGAAATAGATCTGACATCATACTTCCACGTACGTACTTTCACGTCGAAACAACATAAATCATTGCGCACAACATAAACAACACATGGTAAGCAACGTCGCATGCGATGCCGAACAATTCTACTGATATGCCATGCATTTTGATGTCTAACTAGCCACGACCAGGGGTGATCTCCTAGTGTTGCTGCACAAGCACTAGCACCTCTACGCGCCAACAACAATCTTGTTAACCATGGTCACGGACGGGTTCAGCCAAGCAGGAGGCACCGCCTTGAACCCATACGCACCCTTGGACACCTTGCCGACCATGAACTGCATGAACGCCTTGGAAATTCTCCCGATTGCGCCAGAGAGCGACTTCTTGATGAAAGCAAACTCCATGGACACCATGGGAGGCGTCTTGGCTCCGGCTTTCCAGATAAAGTCCACACTCGCCCACGACGCGTCGGGCGCGGCGGGAGGGGTGGTGGGGATGGCAAGCGCAGGGTTCCTTGACGGGGGCGCGACTGCCAGGCCATTGGCGTTCTTGAGAGCAGCGACCACGCGCTTGTTCGGAACGACGCTGCAGCCGCCGGTGAACGCGTAGCCAATGGCGCCCTTGGTCTTGAGCACGGCGTCGCACATGGAATGCATGCCCTCCACCTTGGTGAGCCCCGCCAACGTCATTGACACGCCGTCCGTCGCACGTGCCAGAGTAACCCTGCACTGTCTTCGACCACAGGGTCTTCACGATCGCGGTACTGCCGGACTTGTCGCTGCGCGCCACGGGGGTGATGGCGCCCGCAACCTTGCCGGCCGCGCCGGGAACGCCCGACCACGCGGTCGTGGCGCCGCTGTAGATCGCGTACGTCTGCGCCGCCGTCAGCATGACGCCGGCCTTGCCGTTGACGAAGAAGCTGAAGGTGGAGACGCACTGCGGCACGGTGATCTTGGGGGGAGCGCTGGCCTCCTGCGTGGAGGACATGGGGTCGTCGGAGATGGCGATCTGGTAGGTGCCGCCGTTGAAGCCAGTGATTCCGGCGCCAGATCCCACCGGATCGTACGGAACGAGCTGCAGGGCGGGCTTCTTGCCTTTGTTGTACGCGTCGACGACGCCCTTCCCGGCCTGAAACGGCACAATTGCAAAGAGCAAATAGGTTTTTTTTTTTTTTTTTTTTTTCAGTAACTTGATATGGAGGATCATGTTTCTTTTGAGAATTCTCAAAAGCGGCTCTGGTCAGCAATTCGATGTGGAAGATGCTGGCTCGAGAAGCTTTTGTAGGTATGGAATCACGAGATTGAAACGGTGGTGGCTGAGATGTAGGTTGGACCTAGATGGGAGCGAGTTAGAGGGAAGTTGGCGAAGGTCTCAGAAAGTGGCTACAGCGGAATGGGTTGCATTGATTGTGTTGGGGTACAAGTACGTACGGTAACCCTAACTGTTTGTACCCCATATAGCATGACCCACTAAAGGATATAACATTTGACACACCCCCATAGCTTAAGTGGGGAATGCCAAGCAACAAGAAACGCAACCTAAGGTCACAAGACCAGTCGCAAGCAAGAGAGGAAACAAAGCTCAGGGTGGATCACAACGTCACCACACAGTCTGAGCACAAACAAGGGGCCACAAGGCCAGTTCAAGAGTGTATAAGCTAATATATATATGGTACACACACACAAGAGGCAAAAAATCACTACTGCGGTCTACTAGACCCAGTCTCAACGAGACCTAACTGCAGACAAAACCGGCGGTGGTCACAAGGCTGAAGAGCCTTGGTGAAGATGTCTGCAGTGTTGGCCTCGGAGGCCACGAAGTCCAGACGAGCCTGTCCGCGTCGCTGCAACTCTCGAAGGAGGAATTACCTGACGTCGATGTGCTTCACTCTGCTCTCCAGTCGAGGCTCACGACACAGGAGAATCATCGCCTTATTGTCAGCAAACAAGGTCGGTGCAAAGCTCGGCCGCTCACCAAGGTCAGTGAGCAAGAAGGTCAACCAGCGTAGCTCCTGTGCATCAAGGGCTCCAGCGTATATCTCGGCCTCTGCGGTAGAAGTCGCAACAGAGGAGGACCGAGTAGACCTCCACGAAACAGCTCCAGAGCCCAGGCTGAAACAGTAACCCTGTGTAGACCTCTGAGTCTCAACGTCGTCGGCGTAGGAGGAGTCGCAGTGACCGGTGAGTACAACTGGCTGTGTCCCTCCAAGTACAAGCCCCATGTCTCATGTCGCGCCGAGGTACTTCGCCACCCTCTTAGCCGCCACCCAGTGAACAGGACGGTGTCTCCCAGTCGCAACAAAGCAAGAAAGGATGCAAAGAGGGAAGGCGAGGTCCGGGCGAGTACACGTCATCAGGTACATGAGGCAGCCCACCAGCTCTGCGTAGGGACCACTGGGCTCGAACGGCTCGTCAGGAAAAGGCCCAGTGAGTCTGTGGTCTACAGCAAGAGGGGTGGGTGTAGGAGAAGAGTGCTGAAGCTTGAACCACTGAAGGACCTGCTGCACCATGTGTGACTGAGTAAGAGTGATGGTGCGAGCGGCTCTGTCCTTGGAGATCTGCAGGCCAAGGTAGCGGCGCAGTTCCCCAAGGTCAGTGCAGGTGTGTCTCTTCTGCAGTTCGGACTTCACCTCCGCCAGTGCAACTGTGTCGGCTGTGGCAAAAACCAGGTCGTCAACGTAGACGAGAACGAAGAAAGGTGTGCGCCCACGACGAACAAACAGCGACGGGTCGGTGGAAGACGGCTCAAACCCGAGGTCGGAGAGAGTCGAGCGGAGAGTGTCGTGCCACTCACGGGGTGCCTGGCGGAGACCGTAGACCGGTCGTCTGAGGCTCCACTGGGTCCCTGGCGGGAAAGTGCCAGTGAAGCCCGGAGGACGACGCAGCCAGATCTCCTCGTGTAGGCGGCCCTGGAGGAAGGCAGTGGAGAAGTCAAGAGAGTGTAGCTCGTAGTCTCTCTGCGCTGCTACGTGCAGTAACACCCGAAGAGTGGTCATCTTCGGGGTGGGCGCGAAGGTCTGAAAGAAGCCAACTCCCTCACGCTGACTGAACCCTCTAGCCACGTAGCGTGCCTTGAAGACAGGGGGAGATCCCGGCGGCCGCTTCACCTTGAAGATCCACATGCCGTCAACGATGTTCGCCCCTGGGGGGGGAACCTCGTCAACGTAAGTGCATGTGGACCTGTAGGAGGCCATCTCTGCGTCCATGGCAGCTCTCCACTAAGAGGCCCAAGGCCCTGACACTGCCTCAGCGTAAGTGCAAGGAGTAGGTATGTCAGGAGCGTCGGGGTCTCCCTCAGGAGCGAGGAGCATGGCACAGAGATGAGGCGAAGCAGCTGCCAGGAACTCTAGCTCAAACTGTCTGTCCTCTAGGACGTCACAGCCAAGGGCAGACTCACCCCCGGCAGACAGAGGACGGACAGGAGGAGCGGCCACAACACGAGTGGCGTAGTCAAGGCAACGCGTAGCAGTAAAGTCAGTGACAGCGGCAGTGAGGACCGCGATGGAGGAAGGAGAGGCACGAGGGTCTGTAACAAGAGAGGCGAAAACACGAGAGAGAGTGGGGCGGTACGTGCGGTAGTAGTCAGAGACCGGAGTGGATAGGGAGGCAGTGAGGGACGACTCAGGAGGAGGAGGAAGAACAGACTGAGGAGGACGAGGAGGACTAGAACGAAACAAAGCGGTACGGAGGTCAGTGACAGGGGACGAGGGACGAGCACGAGGAGGACGAGAGGTCCAAGTGTGGGCGAGTGGAGGGGGAGACGGAGGAGAGTAAGAACGAGGGAACACAGCCGGAGCTGAGTCCGGAGGAGGAAACGTAGGACCGAACACGGGAGGAGAGGAGGGGAGGCCAAGGGCCCGAAGGCCAAAAACAGGGGCCGGAGGCTGCTCCGGCTGCTGCGGCCGCTGCTGCTGCTGCTCCCGCTGCAACTCCAACCTCTCACGCTCCACCCGCTGCTGAACCTCCGACCTCTCACGCTCCAAACGCTGCTGCTCCTTACGCTCAAGACGAAGAAGGGTCTGGTAACGAGTCCGGTAGGAGTGAGGAGGAGGAGTGGTGTCAGGAGACGCAGCAGAAGAACCGGCTTCGTCTGCAGCAGAACCCGGCTGAGCACCCCCAGAGCGAGTACCTCCCGCGACAGCACGACCAGCACCAGTAGGAGGCGTACCCGCACCCCCAGTCGTGGTGCCTCCAGTGACACCAGCACCAGCCACAGACTCTCCAGCTCCAGAAACACCAACAGCTCCAGCACCCTCAGAACGAGCAGCTGCGGCAGGTGCACGCTCAGCGCCAACGCCAACACCCCCAGACCGGGCTGCTCCTGTAGGCGCACGAACAGCTCCAACGCCAGCACCCCCAGAGCGAGCACCCCGAGAGCCCTCACCTCGAGCACCAACACCCTCAGAGTCCGCAGTGGCTGGTAAAGGAAGCGCCGACGGCTGCTGTGGAGGCTGTGAGGACGACTGTGGGGAAGGAGGAGAGACCTGGGGGGGTACCGAGGGGGGGGGAGTAGCGTGGGACACACCAGACGGAGCGGGGACAGGGGGGGGTACCGGAGGAGCAGGGGCGGGAGGAGGAGGAGCTGGAGCCAGGAAGAGGGGAGGGGGGGGAACCGGGAGGCCTCGACAGGGGTACCGGACGTAGTAGGGGACGGACTCGTCGAAACGGACGTCACGAGAGTCAAAGAACCGGTGGGAGGGAGGGTGGTAAAAGGTGAAGTCAGAGGAGCCCTCTTGGAAACCAAGGAAGACACAGGGGACAGCGCGAGGCGAGATCTTGTCCGCAGAGGTGTCGCGGACAAGAGCCAAGCAGCCCCAGACACTAAACCTCGACGCAACACCAGGGGACCCTGTCCAAAGACTGGTCGGTGAAGCCCCTGGCCGAGAGACGCGAGGCCAGAGGTTCAGCTGGTGAGCGGCGTACCAAGCCGCGTAGGGCCACAGGAAACGGGGCGCGTAGGCGTGGATCATGGAGGTGCGGGCGATCTCCATGACCAGGCCTAAGCGGCGCTCAGCAACCCCATTCTGCTGTGGAGAGTCTGGAAGAGTCTAGGACTGGGTGATGCCCTGCTCAGCACAGAATCTGGCGAGAATGTCGGAGCGAAACTCACCCCCACCGTCGGAGTGAAGACAACTGACACGACGACCGCGAGTGCCCTCGGTGGCGAGGAGCCACCGGATCAGCGTAGAAGTCACGTCGGACTTCTTCGCCAAAGGGAACACGGTGGTGTACCGAGAGTAGTTGTCAACGACCACCAGAAAGAAACTCTCCCGCTGAGGGCCAAGACGGGGAGCGGGGCCCCAGACGTCTAAGTAGAGAGTCTCGAAGGGCTCGGTGGCCGGACAAAGGGAGGAGGAGTGAGGGGTGACACGCAGCCGACCCTGGACACAAGGACCGCACGGAGGAGCTGGGGACGGCGGGAGTGGCGGGAGGACTCGGGGGAGGCCTAAGACAAGACGCTGACTGGACATAGCGCGGAGACGAGGGAGGGACGGGTGACCAAGGCGGTGGTGCCAGAGGAGGAAGGGGTGGGCAAGCGACCGACACGAGCACGACGCAGCAACTACACCTGACACAGCAACCTGACTGGACCCGGCTACCTGGTGGGACGGGGAACCTAACGAGGGTCGGTGCGGAGGGTGTACAGACCTGAGCCCGGCTCCTGGCGAAAAGTGGCCAAGGGGGCGTACGTGTCACCGTCCACACAGATCGCGGTGTCACCAGAAGGCTCAACCCAGATCCCGACGTGCTGTCTCGCCAGGGTGCCCACGCCAACCAGGTTCCTAGAGAACGAAGGAACGTGGAGGCCAGTCAGGGAACCGGAAGGAGCAGCTGGGCACGGGAGTGTAGTGGCGTGAGTCGCAATGACTGGTCCCGAAGAGGGATCGGCCAGTGCTACAGGGACAGTCGCCGGTAGCGGAGAGAGAGTCGTGCAGTCGCGGAAGAAGCAGTGTGACGCTCCGGATTCCAGTGTGAAGGAGAGAGAGGCGTCCGCCGAGGGAGAACCTGTACTAGTAGCTAAACAAGATCCTACACTAGCACCTACTCTAGCAACAGGCAAAGATCCTAAGCTAGGTACAGGCAAGTACACAGATCCATGAGCACTATAGTCAACATCAGCATACATGGCATATGACCTAGCATCATCCATAGTCATATCAAAAACAGCAATACCACGAGCAAGAAGCGTCCCCCAGCGTGGCGGCGGGGGAGCGGAGGGGCCGTGGTGCAAGACGTAGGGGTCGTCAAGACGACTGAAGTAGTGTGCAGAAGAGTGGTCGGGGCGGCCACAGTACGAGTCCCGACGAGGACCCGTAAGGATCCAGTACTCACAGGGACCAACGTCGCGGCCGGCCGAGCGAGGTCCCCGATTGGAGGGGGCGCCACTGCGCCCAGTGCTCGGGGGACCCGCAGACCTCCACTGCTGCTGAGGGCCCCACTGTTGCGGAGGGCCCCACTGCTGCGGAGGGCCCCACTGCTGAGGCTGCTGCTGTGGCGGGCGCTGCTGCTGGCCCTGTTGCTGCTGCTGCTGTCCCTGCCGATGCTGCTGTCCAGGCGGTGGCAGCTGCTGAGGAGTCAACTGCTGCTGCTGCTGGGACCCCTCACCACCAGTGAAAACTCCACCGTTGAAAGGAGGGCCGTCAGGTCCCGAGCCACCCCCACCACCACTCCCACCATCTGCTCCACCGCCACCGCCACTACCCGCACCACCTCCAGTACCCCCGCCACCCTTCCCGCCCCTCTTACCAGCCGTGCCACGCTTCTGCCCGCCAGAGACAGAAACAGCCGCCGTCTCCTCAGAGGCAGAAGACGTGGGGGTGATAAGTGAGGCAGAGAAGGTGGGAAGCTGTGGTACCGCACACCCCTCAAAAAGACGAGGAGGAGTCGCGGAAGAGGCAGAGGCAACAGTGAGGAGGTTGCTCTCGATCTTCGAGAGAGCAGTCTCAAGAAGATCGATGGTAAGCTCAGTGGGGTGCTTCAGAAGAAGCGCGTCGCGGGCTGTGGCTAGGCGGTCAGGGAGGAGTGACTAGCCAGTGAATAGTGAGCCACACAGGGGGTGGGGCAAGGGCAAGCTGGTCCTCAGTGCAAGCAGCGCGAAAGCGAGCATCAAGGGAGCGCAGGTGGGTAGCGAGGTCGGAGACAGTCTCAAAGGAGGCGAGGTCAGGGTAGATAAAGGGTACGAGGAGGCGACTGAGCGAAGCAGAGGAGGGAGTGGAGTAGCGAGTAACAATAGCCTTATACAGATCTGCAGCAGACTCGACCTGAGCGAAGTGGACTGCCTCTGTCGGCGGGAGATGGTCGGTCAGGGCGAGGCAGGCAGCGGCGTCACGAGACTCCCACACGTCTTGAGCGAGGAGCTGGCGCTGGTAGTCGGCCTCCTGCTCAGAAGTAGGCGGTGGAG